AAGGGGAAACCTGAGCACCCGGAGGAAACCTATGCCGACACAGGGATAACCATATTATCTCACCATATTGAGAACAAAGTTGTAACAAATGTGTAAATATTTTTGATGTATGGGTGTAATGTATTGAGATATGACAGGATATCATAGAGATCTGTTTTCAAAAGTAGTGCCCTAAAAGTAGTTTTAGCTTTGCAATCTCATGTAGAGCCTATAATCTTTGTAAATATAATACATTTTATACCACATATTTTCAACTATATTGTTTTATGAAAGTTAATTGACTCAGTATCTTGATGACCAAAATAATGCATAATATTTCTTCTTATAGCACTTTTAGTATATTTATCTGCTATAACTGCTTATGTCATGGCTGCGTCTTGTGGACATGTAAAATGTTTCCCGTTCTGTGCAGGTGGTGATGGTGGTGGCATTGGGGGTGCGTGTGTCAGGATCCAAAGCACTGCACATAAAAGACCCGCCTCCAGCCTTGGTCTCTTGCTGGTTCACTTAAAGCCCTGCACCTGAACGCCAACGCTGCCGTTTGGATTCCTTTACATTTATCTCATCATTCACACCCATTCATGCTATTCCAACCTGCTCTTTAGACTGTCTCACATATCATTGACTTATAACTTTAAAAGATCTGTCTGGGGTTATTTTTGGTTTTAATCTTTTTAGCCATTTTGTAACAAAACAGCCATATTTCTCTTCGAGAGTATGTCTGGAGTGAATTCTGCTTTGCTGTAAGCAACACTGAATCCTTTCATAAAAGCTTGCTGTGGCAGAGGAAGTATATTAGTGTGTATGTGGAGCCAGCCATCCACTTTCAGCAGGTTGTGTTGCAAAAGAAATAAACACATTTTCTTTACATAGAGCGGCTGTGTTTAGACAGAAAGCCACCGTTTCAATGGTTAACCTTTGGAATAACTGCTCACAGAAAAGTACACTTCATGGAAACTGGCATACTTTTAAAATAAGCTTTAAGTTTCAAATCGTAAAGAAAGATGTCGTTGGTTGCATTAGCGTAATAAGTGCATATTGATTTCGTGTTATTCAAACCCGGACTGCTCTGGTTTACCGGAATCAATAGACTCTTGCATTCTGAATCACGCCAAAGTGGCATTGCATTTGTTTTGAAGTCAGGTATCCTTGACCATTTAGCAAACTGTTTTGAACTGGATGTCTGTCCACAGTTGAAAACAAAACCACAAGATATATCACTGAACCATCACAAAGAACAACTACAGACAGACAATGTGCGTTTGAAGACCTGCCTCTACAGACTCAATGTGTATATATAATATATGTTACAGTACAAATAGCACATACTCAGTTCAAACCTTTAAATATATCTGCGTTATCACTTCCTTTTTAGACAGCCTTTTCTTTTCAAAAAGGGCAGGGTTTTACAGCTGGTTTTAATGTGTACCCAACATGTCAACACACCAACCTCTGGATTTCATCACAGATTCTTTGAATACACACAGAAAAGGAACTGGAAAAGAAATGACAAATACTGTGATGACTTTGTTATGATTGATGGAAACTATAGTTCTGGATTCTCAGTATCACATTCAACAACTTCTTATGAATTAGTTGATATTTAGTTAAGTGTATGATCCACCATCCTCTCACAAATGCATACACACAACAACATGAAAGCACAATGTGAATGTCAACACACCAACCACTGGATTTCATCACAGATTCTTTTAATACACACATGAAAGGACTGGAAAAGAATTGACAAATACTCTGATGACCTCATTACTGATGATGGTCTCTGTTTTGTACACAACTTATTTTTCTGAATGTGTTGATGTGACACGGAACCAAATCTTGAGTACCTCAGACCACAAAGTCATCATTTCCTGAATCATGCTTCCTGAGTGTCTCCAGACCAGCCCACAAAAGCATCACTCCTGTTCCATTACACGTCTTCATTTTTCCCCTCCCAACAGCAAGACCAGCCGCCCTCCTTTGAACATGTGAGTATTCTTCTGAGGCTTTGGGTCCGCACGCTTGTCCTGTCCCGGTTCACCTTTCTGACTTACAACTTACATTTTTGAGTACACAAGTTCAGACTAGCAGCTTCAACAGCACAGGGTAAATGTTGGGGTGTTTTTGAGTGCAGTTGTGAAGCTTTGGGCTTGATCTTAGAGAATGGGAACTATGAAACAGACATGGAATGTGAGTGAGCTGTCAACCAAGATTTGTCTAACCTTCAACTAAAAAGTAAAACAGGTAAGCGCTTGAATATCTTCTTAAGTTTGTAATCATGTTGAGATTCCAGCACTTCTAGGGTGGGATGGTGTCATTGCGGAATATTGATTTTGCATGTTAGCGGACTCCAGAGCCTCTTGTCAACAAGATTTAGTGGCTGAGATTAACTGGAATGCAGCCTGGACCATAACAAGCCAGGTGTCCATGAGGCAGGCTATAAACAAAATCCTTCTCCATAAAATATGTTCAATTGCCTTTCGAAAGAGGCGTGCAGGTTGATTAAATGCGATGAATCATATGAAAAATACATAGAGTGAAATGTATTTGTGCGAAGGGGAATGTCAATGGAATATAAACATAGCACGTGTCAGCCAGGCTTCAGCCGAGCCAACGACCCCATATCAGACAGAATATGTGCAACTAAAATGTTTTGTTTTTTCACCACTGGCTACAAAGTCTAAAACCTTTACTGTTAAAGAGATAAAGAGATCCTTTATTTGTATCACAGTGGGGAAGTTTCAGTGTTGCATCACAAGTTACAGAACAGTAGAAATGAAGAGTACACAACACAAGATACATTATTTAGTATAGCACTACTTTATACTTCTTTATACTTTATACTTATACTTATAAATCTCTATATTTCACTAAAAAGTATAAAAAGTTCAGTTTGTTTCAGTTCAGTTTCTTTATTTATTATAATTAGGGCAGAAGCCAAAAACTGGTGCGCCCATTACATGAAATTACATGTTACAGTACCAGTTACCATAAAATATTTCTAAGAATAAACATTTAGTATTACATATTTAGTTCGGTGTCCGTCCAGGAGAAAGTACACACATAAGGTAGAAAGCTGTATACTCAAGTGCAAAGAAAAAAATCACTTGTAATGTATGTATACATTTGTTTATTTATAGATTAAACCAGAAATAAAGTATGGATGCCAGACAAATATACAAAATGTCACAATTGCCTACATTAAGACAAAACCGAATTTGTAATGCAAGCCCCGTTATTAGCATCAGTAATGACCAGTCGTGGCCGGGTCTAAATGGCTTTCCCATCATTGTGTTTGGATGCCACGACTGATCTCTGTCCTAACGGTAATGGCATTAGATGTTTCTGCAGATCATAAACACAGAGCGACTGGAAACGGAAACGCAAATAACTGCACAAAGTCTGTCTAATGATAAGAGAAAAGCTTCTGCAATCTGTTCCCGAAAACATTTGCATATTGTCATTTTACCTTAAAAGGATTTCATTGCTTTATGGTGGAACAGAGAGAGGACAGTTATAAAAGCGACAAAAGCACATCCACCACCCACCGATGAACTCAGGGAGATTGTAATCAGCAAATTTCTGAACGCTTCATCTTCACAAACACAGAGAGAATGTTTATCGAGTTTGCAGCGAGTGTTGTTGTGTCTCCGATTATTAATGGAACTTCAGTTTAATTACGCAATGATTACAGCAAAGTGCAAATCAATTGTGTGTTGTTGACTGCTTAGACTAATCATTCATTTCCTAATCATGTAAAGCCAAGACATTATTATTCAAACTGATTAATGTATGTTTAAAGCGGAAGATCCGATTTCTAAACTAAATGTTGTTTATGGTTTAGGTTTTTTGTAAATGATGGATATCTGTTCTTATCTTAAAACAACTTCAAGCAGTGCATTCAAAATCAAATATGTGAATCTCAAAGTCTGATTTCTGATAAAGATTCTCTTATATTCTCTTGTAAGTTTTGATTTTGCACAGCCCTGACTGAGTTCATGACTGGCTTTTCAAAGTATGAACTCCCAGACAACATTATAATTCTCCGTCTCCCACCTCAGGCGTATCTTGTAAATGGAAAATAGTGTAAATGTCTGCAAGAGGGGAATTCTGGTGATTCAAAAAGTACTTGTGGGTGGGAAGCAAAGAAACCATGACTAAGCCGGCTTGTCTTCTTGGGGAAAAAATTATAAAATCCAAAACGTGGCTTTTTGGCTAAAACTGAAACTGACTAACCTTTCACAGATGCTGTACAAGGTAAAAGCGGATATGTACAATAGAAATAAGACAAAAATATAAAATAACATAAAAACAAGAAATTAACCAAAAGCTGCCCTAAAAAGAAGTGTCTTTAGTCCCTTTTTAAAAGCATCGGCAGAGTTGACCACAGGGATGGACAGAGGCAGGGCGTTCTACAGTCTGGGGGCCACGGACTGGAAGGACCGGTCCCCCCGGGTCTTATAGCGGGTCTTTGGGACCGCAAGTAAATTCTGGCCTGTGGACCTAAGAGTACGGCCAGAGCAGTGTGGGGTCAAGAGGTCCAAGATGTAAGATGGAGCCTGACCATTTAAGGCTCTGAAAGTTAAAACTAAAATGTTAAATCGATACGTAATAACAGTCACAAAGGCTAGAGAAGAGACTGACACATAGAATCACACAGATGGGAGCAGAAAAAGTCAATTTTGACACAATATTTTTGTATTGGTGCTTTGACTCAGTCTTTTTTGTCTTGCAGGTGGTTTTCTGATCAAGAAAGAACGATGAATGCCACCACACAATCGCCCACTGCTTCAACAAACGCAACCAGCGAAGTGTGCGTCCAAATTGGCGAGAGTGCCATCAGTGACCTCTTGATGGCTGTGTACATTTTGGTTTTTATTGTTGGTTTCATTTTCAACTTCTTAACGTTGTGCCCTATCACTCAACAAGTGCGTCACCAGAATGTGCTTGGAATTTTTTTGTTAAGCTTGTCTTTCTCTGACTTTCTCTTCATCTTCACCATGCCTCTTTGGATCAACTACTATAACCAGGACCACCATTGGAGACTGGGGCCGATCTCTTGCAGCATCGCAGGGTTTTTCTACTATTCCAACATGTACATCAGCATCTATCTACTCTGCTGCATCTCTGTGGACCGCTGCCTGGTGGTCACATACCCCTTTCGCTCCAAAACCCACCGGACGTCCCGTTACGCCTGGCTGCAGTGCTTGGGGGTGTATGTCGTTGTGACACTATTGCATGCTATGGTGCTGTACTGCGACAACTTGACCGACGCACACGATGAAGTCAACGGCAACGACAGATGCTATGAGACCTTCCCAATGACGTCCAATATAGTTTTGTTCAATTTGATCAGAGTGGGAATTGGCTTTGTTCTACCATTACTAATCCTGGCTCTAAGTTACTGGAAAATACTTGCAACAGTTGGCCAAAGTCCAGGTTTAAGCGCCCCAGCCAAAAGAAAAGTGAGATTGTTATCATTTGGAGTGATAGGAATTTTCTCGGTCTGTTTTGCGCCGTATCACATCCTGCTCCTTATTCGTTCTTTGGTTTTTTACAACAGCCCGGGCACAAATGCCAACAGCACTTACTGCCAGTTTGAGCAAAAAATGCACTTTTATTTTTCTTGCACACTGGCTCTGTCTAGTCTCAACTGCGTGGTGGACCCGGTGCTCTATGTGCTGGTCAGTAATGGGGTTCAGAAAGAAGTCAAGACGTGCTGGACGAGGCGCACGCAGACACAAACCGAGGACTGTGTAATTTAATCTAAAACGTGGTGGAATCGTAATGTTTCAGAGAAAAGACAATGGAGTGCACCTGAATGTCCTTTGTTCTTTCAGATGAGGTCCTTGACAAAAAGATTTTTACTTTACTCCGGTGTCAAAATGTGTACATGGTGGGCTTTTTAGTGACCCTTTTAAGACTGAAAAATCCTCCATCTTAGTATTCTCAAAACGTCTTTTCAAGACCAAAATATTGACCTATTCTTATTACCCTGAATAGATGCGGAGGACAGCTTTGATCCTTCACAACTATGACATTGAAATGTCCCCACTGAGGGTAGAATAAAGCTGTACCTTATCTGCAATCGCTTCCAAAATCTAATATTTGGGTTGGAGCAAGAAAGAAATGCTTTTATAAGTTTTGGCTTGTGTCAATCTCTGAGCTGTATAATATCTGTTTGAAGCTTTGCCTGATATGAGTTTCTGGGTATTAAAAGTGTTACTATGAATTATGTATGGCAAACCTCAATCTCCGAGTTAATGAAGGAGATGCATGACTGTTTGCTAAACAAAGGCTTTATGCAGAGACAATTCGCCTCCTGAGAGTCTGCACGGCGGCCAGAGGCTCCATCAGATTGTGCTCAGAGCTGATGAGATGTTTGACTAACATGTGTCTGTGTAATTAGATTGTGTTCCTGGTTTGGTCGTCCTAAGTGTGGTTCAATGGCACGAGTTGCTCTTGGAGATGGACACACTGATAGTTGAAGAGCTCTTGTGTTTTCCTTTCAATCTGGACGGCAAAATTGTGTCAGTGATTGTGTGACCTGCTGCATCTAAAACAGAAATGTGTGCGTGTGTGTGTGCGCGCGTATTTATGAGCCTGGACTACATGTGAAATGATCTAACAAAAATAAAATAATATAATGATAAATGATAATAATGTGTTTGTGAGTGTAGCGTTTGGACAATGGATGGAAGTTTGCCCAAGGGCATGATATTTTACATTGTGTATTTACAGCACGCACTTCATTAATACACACAGTCACATCCAAAAAGGTGTTATGCATCTCATTCAAATGTGTACTCAAAACAATTCTCTTGCTCTTCTTCAGCTTCTTGGTGTAAATACTAATAATAATAATGGTTAATGCGACCTGTTGCTGCTTATGCTACTTATGCTGCTTATGTTGTTGCTGGTTTAATTTCTTGAAAAATGAATAAAATATGAAGTTGGTGTAGTGCATCCTCCATTTACTATATATTTTACATCTTTTTCAGTTCATAAAGGCGCTGCTCATGTACGATGCCAGTTTGTTGCTTGACCGATAAATCAATGGTTGAGTCGCTTCTGCCTGCGCCTGTCAGGGGCACTTATCAAGATCGTCAATACTGCTTTTGCACAAGAGATCATCTCAAGAGATTATCTTATTATGGACTGAACATTTTGAATGAAATATATATATATATATATATATATATATATATATATATATATATATATATATATATGAACTAAAAATGTTTGTACCTAAACATTTTTAATACTTAATACATACTTTAATACCTATATACGTATATACATAGTATAATCTCAGAAGGGCAGCTAAAACTATTTCAAGAAAAATGGATGCCTTTCAATTGTATTGAACTTTGGGGACATAATTGTTACATTTACGACATGTCGTGTTGGAGTCTTTGTGATGGAAGAATGAACAGGACAGAGAAGACTATTTAATGGTTAATGGTTGGAGATATAACTATAATCAATATGTAATTATAGATACAGTATATGGCTCACTCCACACTAAACTGTATCATTTGGTCAATGACACGAAAAAGTCCCGAAATGTCCGCAGCCGTTACCGCTGAATGTTCACAGACCCTCTCTTGTTTTGTCCCCAGCTTGTTTGTCCAGTGAAGGGGGCACTACTTAAACACAGATTCGTTCACGCCCGTATTATCAACAGCGCTCCAAGACAGACGTTTTGGACGTAACAAAAGTGGACACGATTGTTACGTCCAAAACGCCTAGTTTGTCCGCAGTTATTGAATGATATTTTTTTGCATTATGTAATATCTATAATTACATATTGATTATAGTTATATCTCCAACCTTTAACCATTAAATAGTCTTCTCTGTCCTGTTCATTCTTCCATCACAAAGACTCCAACACGACATGTCGTAAATGTAACAATTATGTCCCCAAAGTTCAATAAAAATGTTGTATTGTATTGCATCTATTTTTCTTGAAATAGTTTTGGCTGCCCTTTTGAGATTATACTATGTATAGATATAGGCTACATAATATTAAAAAATGTTTAGGTACAAACATTGTTATTTCATATATTTACTTTATTGTCGCCATATATATATATATATATATATATATATATATATATATATATATATATATATATATATATATATATATATATATATATATATTTGTATGTATATATATATATATATATATATATATATATATATATATATACAAATATATATTTTATTTTAAAAAGGTAAACACAGAGTTATCTTTTGTTGTCGATTTAAAATACTTAATCAAAGGGGAATTTTTCCAAAAAACGAATGACACGTTTGTTCATTATCGCCGTATTGTTTGTTTGGTTGTCCATTTCAGAGAACATCATTAAAGATATACCACATCTGTGATGTCACACATAGCTCTCTCTATACTTTGTGTTTATTAACTACTGTATATTATTATTTTTGCAAGAAATGTGTAGAGTAAATTATAATAAATGGAGACAAAATAATCAAGACAACGTTGTAAATAATATAAGATGTTTTTTTTGTCAAAATCAAAATGAGAAAAATAATAATAAAGACTTGGTCTGGGAACACCCCCAGAGTGTACCCAGAGCAGAGATGTTACAGTAGTACATTGACCCATTCGATGGAGCTGTTGTAACTGCCCATGACTGCATGTGATGTGAAGCAAACTCAGTGTTTGATAATATAGAGGTTTCAACACAGTAGGATTTGGTGAAGAAGGAAATCAATGACATTCCATTCAAATTAAATACTGAACACATTATGTTTATTTTTACTCTCACAAGCTTGATTGTGTTTTCTTATTTCCTTTCACACAAATTCTTTTTCAGCCTCAAACTGCTTGCTTAGTGTCACTTTTTATTGGGTTAAATGCTGCTTCATGAAGGTCACAGTGGTCAATCGGCCCCTCTGGGTCCAACCAAAGGACAGAGGGACCGCTGCTAAAACAGTCCTTTGGCTCTTGGTTTTCTCATCATCTTTTTCTCGTGGAGAAGTCATGTTTACCACATCATGTACTATGCAGTTTTACAAATATATATTTGCACTCTATCTGAGTGTTACAGAGCTGTGAAGTGCACAAATCAAATATTTACCTTTTTAAATAGACTAGTGATCTCATACATTCACATTTGGAATGTCAAATATAATGGAATCGAAACATTTCACAATTGCAAACAACGTAACACCGTTCACAAACACCAGTGGTCAACACTTTGTAAAGAACTATGGCTTTTAAAAATTGTACAGTAACCAATAAAAGGTAGCGCCAACCTACGCTGAACTATTGTTAGGTAGCGCCTGTGGCAGATGGGTCCAAATATCGTTTGCAAAAATTAAACTGGAAAAAATCATATCCCATCTCCAGACAAGTAAAACATTATATTATAGATTTGCCATACAGAAACTTGCACAGAACCTAGAAATCACACCTCATTAGTTAGTTTTTCCACTGTGAGCTTTACTTCCAACATTTTCAGACTTGGTAAAATCAACTTTTACCCATGTGCAAAGAAAACGTCAACTTGTGCGTATTGACGATCTGAATACAACCATAAAACACTGAACAAAAAGGACATCCCTTATGGGAGGGCGAAGAAGCTCGTCTTCTGATGTTTGATGCAGTGATTTCACTTGGCATTTTGAACAAGAGTCAATAACGACATACCGTGTACTGTGGCAACATCTTAAATGTCCTATTTGAATATATGAGAATTGGAGAAATTGGCAAAAATAAGTAAACAAATTTGCAACTCACTGAGCTTTTAAGTGATCTTGAGAATAAATACGAAAAGACAAATAAATAATGCCACCTCAAAAAACAAGGGGCCTTTATGGGAGACTGACATTGCAATATTTCAAAATAGAATGTCAGTACCTGGAAAGTATTATGACCCCGTCCTCGGAAGTCGGCCATATTCAATCAGACCCAGGACTTAAAAAGTCACATGTTCATTACTTTAGACAGCTGGGCCCATTTTACTGCAACGGTCTTCAAACTGGGGCGACAGTTGGTAAAGCATTGGCCTTCGGGCCTTCGGGTTATGGTTTCGATCCCACCCTGAGACCTTACTCCAACTGCTCCCCCTCAAGTCTGCTGTCATTGTGTCCCTGGGCAAGACACTTAACCCCTCTTTGCCTGAAGTCCCCGCTGAAAGACCAAGGCTGTGTCACCGTTGACAGAGCAGCCATCATATATAAAGTCACTTTACTGCCCATCATACGTCACTTTACTTCACTGTACTGCTGTCACCTTACATTGTGTGCACCATGTGCACTTGTATATTGTAAATAGTAACTGTAACTCTATTTTAAATTTAAATGTATTCTTTAGAAGTGTTTTTTATTCTTATTTTTATTATCTCTTTTTGACTGTTGCACTGAGCCAAAGCAATTTCCTAGTCTGTGACCTCCTGTTACTTACGTGGCAATAAAAATGATTCTGATTCTGATTCTGATCTGATCATCCCGCTGACCCACCACCTGCAGAGGATCAGAGGGACTGGTGCGATGAGCATTGGGTGATAGCTCTCATTACCACACACCCCCCCCCCCCCCAAGCCAGAAATGGACTAATAACGGGGAAGAAAATGAATGAATGCATGAATGAGTCTTCAAACTGGTTCAGAACCTGCATGGTTTTGTCTGTTTCTGATTAAGTGACAACATTTGACACACAGATTGGATTGGAGCCTGCCTAAGACGTTGTGATATGCCATGATTGTATTTTTGAAGAGTGCAGTAAACAGCAGGCCTTAGGTGGTAGTGAATTCCTTGTGTGGTATTTAAAACTTTTCTTAGAACATTTTTTGTTGTTACTCTGTACTACACGTCAGCTGAAAGATTTTAGAACTGAAAGATTGTATTGTAACTCCCTATATATCAGCTATAATGAATGCATTCTCCTGTAGCCTATGACTTGGAATCATCTGACTGCACTTTTACCAATTCATTCTCCATAACGCCTATAAATGGCTTTATTTTTTCAAGTAAAGTAAATAAATAAGTACATTTTGTTGATGTATATGGGTTATGAAGATAATTATGTTGTTTGCCTGAATCTTGCCACAGCATAAAGACAGTGGAACGTTACATACAAGTTACAGCCTTTATGATCCATTCTCTGTAGAGTTTAGATCAGGCCCAAAGAATCCAGATTGAAGCGTCCACAGCAAAAAAGTTACTGTTGGTAGAAAGCCTGCATGCATCTAGTGTTTACTTTTGCTTGAGTCCATTGTTGTGACGGAGGACGTTATCTCCAAAAACAGATATAATGTTGTTTGTTTGTGATGTCTGGAGAGGATCAGTCCCGTGTGGAGCCGGTCTCTGTGGTGTGGGCGTGCCTGTGGTCACATGGGCACAGGTATCCCCTCAGGTGTGAGCGCACCTTGCTGTGCAGAGAGGCGTAGATGAAGGGGTTGTAGCACGCAGAGCTCATGGCCACTAGGTGGCAGCACACCTGGAGGATGTTTATGTAGCGCTTCCCTATGATCTGAAAGTCTGGGTCAAGATCCAGCAATAGGTTCAGTACCTGCAGGAAAAAAGACAAAATAATAATATACAAAAAATTAAATTAATAAACAGACAGACAGTGATCCTGTCATTGGTGTTAGCATCACCACACTAGCAATGGGCTATATGCACGGGGAGGCGTGACGAAATACAGCCCGTTCACTTCCTGCCTATGCTATCCTATGGCTTTTAGGTGGGTTTTAGTGACGTTTTTTAGTAATTAGATTGGTACATTCAGCTGTGAGACTGACCCAAAAGTGTCGCTGTGCTTTCCCTCTGAGGTAGAGCTTTGACTGTGGCCACTCAGAGCGATTTGCAAACTTTATAAAAACACAACGACAGCACAATCAAAGAGCACTGTTGTGTCCCAAAAATGCCCAGTATCCTCACAGTTTAATTCCCGTTTGAGCATTATTTGGGAAACTCATGTAAACCACTGCTGAACTCCAGTGAAACTCAAGCCATTTCCCGCGAACAGGAAGTGAAGTGGGGCTTTAGCTAAAACACGGAAGTGGTGCGTGCATAGAGCCCATGGTTGATCCAAAAAGAGAAACAAGCGCCACATTTTCAGGAGAAAAAAGTGAAGCTAGATACCGTTTTACTTATTTATTTCAATTGTGAACAGTTAATTTGTGTTCTTTACACACTACATGTTGAATCTCAAATAATTAAAGAAGCTATACCCAATTTATTTCCTAATGAGTTCATAAAAATGCGTATTACTACATACAAGTTGTATTAAAATCCGTAATTTAATTGAAAACTTGAGCTCATGAATTAATTCAGGCCGTATAAAGTGCTGAGTAGAGACTTTGCGTGACGCTCGTTCTCCTCCAATCACAGAACAGGCCGCGTCCTCCAGCCTCTAGAGCGCTGCTAAACACAATAGCATGTTAGCAGAATTGGCTATAACGCCTCTGGCTGTAACTGCATACACAGAAAAACAGCCCAAACCACACAACAGTGAGGAAGAGAAGAGGGAACTAAAGCGAAAAAATTATCAAAGATCTAGCTTACATCGTATCCTCTGGAGAGATCTACGAGCACGGACCGCCTCGGACTATCCATGCTCGGAGTCCATTCAGAGGCAAAACTAGCGGTAATCTTTCAGTTATATATTTTGTTTGCTGATTCTTTGCTTTAGTTCCATTTCATCAGTGATTGTTGGACAGTTTACAAGAAGTTGCGCTCATGCTAATGTTTGTGTCGGAGGGTGCAAAAGGGTGGTGGGTTTTAACGTTTGCTTTATGTATTTTTAGACTTTTTATGCGTTGTGTGTTTTAAATGTTTGGCTGACTTGCTCCCCACGTGATGGACAATCAAGACACATGCGCCTTGAGCATAAAAGATGGAGATAGGGAGTGGAGAGGGGGAGGCGGAGACAGGCCAGAGAGCGAGACACGGGAACCAGACACGAGAGGGGAGAGACCCCTGGTCTGGTGGCCCAGGCCGTGGAGAAGGACTTTTAGCCTCTGTTTTTAAATTTTATCCAATGTTTTTAGCTTAGGTTTTTATTGCTTTTTATTCTTTTACTTGTTTTTAATGTATTTGATAATAAATCTTTTTCTAATTTGCTTTTAATCCAGTGGTCTCCTTTTAAACCCTGGTCTGAACCTGTTATTCCACTTCCGACATTTGCATACGCATCAGTTCGCAAAGAAAACTAGATGGCCCCGTGGCATGAGAGAGTAGAGGAAATGAGAAGACTGTGAGCGAGTTGGGGGGCGGTGCTAAACATTTCAAACTGAAAAAAACCTTGCCGAAACGGGTATAGCTCCTTTAAAGATTGGGTCGTGGGGGCAGCTGTCTTAGCAGAGGTACCCACACACCCTCCAACGTGTCTTGGACATCCCTGAAAAACCTCTCCAGGCAGGTGTCCAGGAGGCACCCAACACAGATGCCTCAGCCACCTCAACTGGCTCCTATTAAAAATGAGAAGCAGCGGCTCTACTCCGAACTCCTAGTCCTAATGCACCCAACCCATTAATACATAAGTCTGACCTGCAGAGGAAGCCAGCACAGAGCGAAGGCCAGCACTGAGGCCACCAGCAGAGAAAAGGTCCTCTTCCTCCTCCGACACCATATCTTCTGGCTGTGGGACGGCTCCCCAGGCATTGTGTAGCGCTTCAGGCTCAGAGTGATGGCACAGTACGACACACTCACCGACAGCAGTGGAATCATGTAAGAGGCCACGAGGATGAAGCAAGAATAGAGGAGTCGCAGACTTCCACTTTTTGGCCAGAATTCTTCGCACACCACTAAATCAATCCCATTAGGTCTCCAATCCAGATAGCGAGTGTAGAAAGATGGAGGCGCAGCCAAAACAAGGGATAAAAGCCAAATGCCTAGTGTCACTGCACCACAGCCGCAAGCAGAGATCCTCTTACGCACAGGGTGAGCTGGAAGACAGGAACAAACGTTGGACACTGATGACAAGCAGTATTATTTCATGTTGGCAGTAGATTTATTTTCTATTCTGCATGCCTACCCAATGGCATAATGGCATTAAAGTATAATGTTATGTTCAAATCAAATTCTCACATTTGCAGAAACAGACATTTCAAACAAAATTGTCGTACCACCTGCTGACTCAGTATTGCTCTGTTTAGCTTTCTTACCGACAACAACATAGCGATCCACAGCGATAGCCGTTAAGGACAGCACTGATGCAAAGACGGTGGCACACTGCAGCAGAGGCACCAGGTGACAGAGCGCTCTCCCGAAGGCCCAGCCGCGACTGTCAAAGGCGTATGACGCAGTCAGAGGAACACAACTCAGGCACATCAGCAGGTCCCCCGCAGCCAAGTTACCGATGAAGAAATTAGTGGCATTGTGCAGCTTCTTGTCAGTCAGAATACAGGCGAGTAAGAATGAATTTCCCACTCCAGCAACAACCACCAGCAGAGAGTAAAGAGGGAGGAACAGGGGTCGGTAGTACAGAAGAAGCTCCATGCCAACAAACATGTCCATGGGGTCACTGTGGTTAAGTCCATGTCTGCTCTGTCCCAGGGGTCCACTTCCAGGGCTGGAGTTTCCACTAAAGCCATAGTCTTCATCCATCACAATATCCATGTTTCTGGAGGCAGATAAAGCAAGTATCTGTAAATCCTTTTCTAAAGATCATGGGTCCTGCACTGATAGTTGATAAACTAAGAACTTCAGCCTTTATCAAATCTATAATATTCTTCAAACTGAAATTTCACCATTCACCGTTAGGATAGACAATGATAAAAGATGAGTTTACACCACACAACAAATTGCTTTGGGTTTTATACTTCTTTTTTATGTTTAAGTCAGAGTATTTGTACTCATTATGCTAAAGTTCAATTCAGTTTGAATCAATCCTAAATATAGAGATTTTATGCTGCTTCTTTTATGCTAGAGTCATAGATATTTATTTTATCTATTCATTTGTCTTGCCTGCTGGTCATTCCTACTGTTTTGTGATGCAACAAATTTCCTCACTGTGGGACGACAAAAGGATTTCTTAATCTATATGAATTTCCATAAGTAACACATGGTCAAAAATATTAGCTCAGTTGGGACTAAGAAATACATCCAATTATTTTCCGGCTGCACTTCAATCAATCAGCTCGGCCGGTGGAAGCCGCCTCCCTGCAGCCCATGTACATGTTCACAGATGTTCATAACAGTTTGGCCTTTTGCCACCTGCCGCTAATCCTCTGCCACTCGTGACTCTCACAGCAATCACTGTGTCCAAAACTGGGCACCCCCCTGATATTTCACCACACTGGCTTTTATACGGCTGAAAAGAAGTGTATGTGTATTCATGTTTACCATAAAAGAGCAAAAGAAATATCAGGCTGGAGAGTGCAGCAATCGTAGTCGTTGTCAAAAAGTTAGTCATTGATTTTTTTGTTTATTTTTACTTTTAGGCTGAACAATAAAAAATAATTCATTGTTTATGTGTTTTTGGGAAGCCTGTTGATGAGTTCACTCACGATTGGATTTAACCAAAGATTAAAAAAAAGAATACGAGACTGATTGAGCTTGTATAGAGTTTCTTCTTCTTCTCAAAGAAGAACTTTAGAACACCTCCCTTTGTGGTATTATTCCCATATGTTTCTTTGACTCTTTATGTGGTTCTTTAAATGTATGTAGTTTGTTCAATAAATCCTTCCCCAGTTTGTTGAATTTAAAGGCAATCATGTTTTTCCCCTCGACGCATGTGATTCCCTATTATCCCTAATCAAGACGGGAATATGTCCTCTGATTCCATTTGGTCCCTCATGTCCACCTTGTGGACTCATCCTCCTTGCCTAGTAACGCCGTTGCCATGGCCTTTGTGGAAGCCATCCAGACCCTGGGTGGATAATTTGTGTGCGTGCAGAGCATAAAGAATCCACGAAACGCAGAGCAGAATATAGCCTCTAATTGCTACTTAATGTGCTTCTTTACATCTTCATTTAAATGCCTTTCTATGGCTGCTGTTCTCTTTGTAATTTATTTCTTAATTCCATCAAATGATCATTATGGGTCAAAGCACAAGTCACATGCAATAGTGTTAGTGTTCAGTCTAGTATGTGAGTACTCATAGTATATGGTCAATCGTTGTAACTGTGTTATTATGTATTTCACTGTAACTTGTATATAAGTGTGAAGTGAGGACATTTATTAACTAAGCATTCTGTTATTACCCGTGAGGGGGTTCCTTTCCATTTAAAGTTATTTCAGTTTCTATAGTAACTGAAATGATCACTATCTTTGTAGGAGATTTTTTGAAAAAGTGAAAAACATTAATTGGTTTCGCCTACATTTAGGTCTTCCCAGTGAAAAGGTTAGGGCCCCCTTGCAGATCACTTTTTATGCCAAATAAAAAACATGTACTTGCTATTTTATCTCATCAGAATCCTCCCTTCAGTAGACAGTGTTCTGATGCCCCCAGTGTCCACCCTGCTGTATCAACAGCATGGAAGAGAGGTAACCCAGAGGTAATATCCGGACTATTGGCAGTTTTTATATGGACGTGCGCAACCGGGTTATTGTCAATATTTCAGTTATGAGTGAGCCATGGCCCGCCGAGGTGCCACTGGACTGCAGTGCCTGTGGGCTCTGGAGGTGAATGTGAGGGGTCAGAACTTCTTCGGGCCAGCCTTGAGGTATTGGCTGCATGTTAACGTGGTCATTGTGTGTGTTAATGAGTAATATATATATATAAAAGTATATATATATATATAGTATATATAGTATAGTATAGTATAGTATATATATAAAAGTATATATATATATAGTATATATATAAAAGTATATGTATGCAAGATTTTCCTGAGGTTGGACAAATCCAGTTGAGTTTTTTATCTGAATGTCAGAGCAAGGCTCACATTAACCTTCTGGAGCACGGTGACACGGGTCGGAGCTTTTACTCATTGTTGGAATGTACATGTGGGTCTGTGTGAGCCCCTGTGGTGATTCAAGCATATTTGAGAGATTTACACAGTAATACTGTATATAGTTTCTGACTTCAATACACTCTTCAGACCATGGCCATCTTTATCTTGATACAGTGGTTGGACGGTGGTAGCGGTAACGGTGGTAACATGGTAGCTGCGGTAACTGTGGAAACGGTGGTAACGTAGTAACAGTGGTTGACAGCATATATATTTTCAGTATTACATAAATAAGAAATGTGAACATGTGTGATTTTTTTGACGCATTGTTTTAAAATATTGTGTGAACAAATTTCCTAAACCCTATAAGTATCAAGTTATCATGTGTTTTTAAATAGTAATGGACCAGATGCCTATAGTCTCCAAAAATTAAGCGGACCGATAAAAATAAACCAATGGGATTCGTTCATCCCTAACGAACCAATGGGATGCGTTTACCCCCTTCACCCTCTTCCTGTTTCTTGCGAGTGCGCGCACCGGAGTTATCGTGTTTTCTAAAATCTAAAAGGGCTGAACAGAAAATGCCAATTTCACGTTTGTCCTTGTTGTGACAAAGAAAATAAAATGCTGGATGCTTGGTTTGGTGGAGAGGCGAGGGGAGGGGGGAACAAATTCGCTTTCTGCATCCCAAGACCTGCATGGTGCACCCACAGGAGCGTGTGTGGGCCTCCTTCAGCACCCATATCTAAACAGGTGAGCACTTATCTTTTCATGGGGCCAGATTTGGATATCACAATGTTAAGGTGAGCAAGAACTATTTCATCCATTTGCCACTTGTTTTTATTGTTTGATTTTCTGTTATATGCAGCCTACAACAGAGTTTTAAAAAATATTGTGGATTTCAATGAAGTATATTATTTCTTCAGCACTGTCATCCTTTGGTGACGTGTGATTCATCAGTCGATGATGTGGGCAAGGGAGTAAATACAACTGGAAATAAATGAGTAAAACTGGTCTGAAAATGTAGCCTGGTCTTACCACACCATCATACTAATTTCATTTCGTACCAAGGTCTAGATTTGCTCCATTTAGCTCCGTTAATAGATGGCAGGGGTTAACTCCTTTTGCAGATTGAAACAATTAGAACTGAGTTTACGGTGACATAAAATGTAATGTGTAATGTGAGTGAGTGAGACATTTAGCATTTAGCCTAGCGTTAGCATGTAGCCTAGCTTTAGCCACCTCCTTTGCCACTAACGGAGCCCCTGGGAAGAAGAGCCACAAAATTAATTCTAACAATGAAATTGGCTAAACATTTCTTTTGCTCCAGCTTCCATTTCTTGATATTTTGAGCCAAACCAGAACGGATTACTTAACTATCGCATTCTCCGCCATTGCCAAACTACAACCAGCAAATTCGGCAAAAACTCTTGACGTCATGACACCTACCTATAACACCCGGTTCCCCCGCTCGCTGAATGGTCACAGGGGATTCAACCGAGGAACCCTCAGCCACTAGCATCAGACCCATGATTACATGTGGGGTAATAATGATTGACAGGAGTTTTTACGGATGGCTAAGGCCAGGCTACTGAGAACGGAACCCTCTAGAACTCCACACATAAAGGAAAATAAAACGAATGGAATTGAGGCGGCAACACTGGGTGGGACGCAGTGTTGCAGCCTCAAGTCATTTTATTTTTGTTTAGGCCTAAATGACAACAGCAGTTGTTTTGGAGGATTTTAAAAAGGTGTAGATTTATCAAAATCAGAGAATCAAACAGTTCGAACAAAGGAGCCATTGGTCCAATGTCAGAGCGGTTTTACTCTACTGCTGATGTTTTGTTCCAATAGTAATCCTGCCGATAAGTGCACTTGTCATCCAGATAGAGTGCTGCAATTCTCTCCATAAAACTGACAGGATGATCACAAACGTTGCACTGCACAGATTCAGATTCAGATTCATTTATTTGCCATTTGCAGTAAAACCACATAGGAAAAACTGTGCAAGACTACCCCGGTGTGCACCAGACAGAGAAGACGACACACACCAGAGCTCTTGCCACTGATGTACCTTCTGTGCACTGATGCACAGAAGGTACATCAGTGCATCCAATTCTGCATCCAAATATGTTGTAATTATGTAGTAAGTTAATGTGTAATACCTCCGTATGGACCAATATCTATTTGATTCTTTGACCTGTGTTCAATGGTTTTGTTAAGTCCTCTGTGATAACTACTGTTGTGATTTAGGGCTATACAAAAATAAATGTAATTGAATTAATCACATATCAGTCAGCGGATCCCTGTGTCACAAAATTTTTTCTGCCCCAGATTGCCCTTTCCAGAGACTTTTCCCTTTCCCTAGTTTATTTGTAAATGTTCAAATTTGATTTTTCATTAGAAAAAACTGTGTAAATACAATACATAAAACAAACTGTTAAAAAAACACAATATATAATTAATAATGTTCCTGTCTGTCCTTCCCTCTGGACTGAGCCATGTGTGAGAAGAACAGAATGACGCGATGTTCATTTTGATACATCTGGCCTATAGTCATCAATAATACAACAAAAAACAACATTATTGTATTTAAATAATACAAATATAGAGAGAGTATTGTGCATAAAACTGCGTTAGATGAAAAAATAACCTTTCATCACGCAACTGCACACATGAAACAGCAGAGATGTTTCTTTCCTGCAGGGCTGACCTTGACAATGG